GGGATGGGGGAATGGAGAGGCAGAGGGAGAAGCAGACTCCCCGCTGAGCAGGGAGCAGGATGCAGGACTTGATCCCAGGATCCCGGGATCAAGCCCCGCATCTGAGCCAAAGGCAGACGCTTAAACACTGAGCCACCCAGGCGTCCCTCTGCTTTTCTTATAAAAGCATACACCTGGCAGCTCCGTGGATGCCCTCCCGAGGGACATTAGATGGGTATGTGACTGCCTGTCTATTACAGTCCCCACCTGGGCCACTGCATGCACTTATGTTACCTCCCCAGCCACTGTGGTCCCTGCACTTGAGGCCCAAGGGCCAGGACCAAGACTCCACCAGCTTCTCTCAGCACAGAGCCATGGGCCCGGGGCAGGCACCCCGGGAGAGGCTCAGCTCAGCTCCATGCTTCCTGCGTTACAGGGCGAAAGGCCTGAAAGAGTATGTCCCTCACCCCCCATTGTACAGATGAGGAGACTGAGGCCCTGTGAGAGGCCAGGCTAGCCCACGCAGCAAACTCAGAGGCAAAGCCTAGCTAGAACCAGGCCTGCCACCAATGGTGAGCAGATTTTGTCCTGCACAAGGGCACCTGGCTGAGGGGACGGGTGAGGCTGAAATCCAGCTTGCCCTCCACTCCCCAGGCTGAGCCCCTGGCATGGCAGGTTGGCAGAGTGGGGGTGGGGGTACCTTTTAAAATTTGCCCAAAGGTGCCATATGGGCTGGTGGTGGCCCAGGCTAGAGCAAGGCATCCTGCCTCAGCTCGCTCTCTCTCTTCTCAGACCGCCTGTCTCATTGCACCTTTTCCTTCTGGTCCTCAGTTTACCCTTCCAGACCATGAGCTAGCTGGAGGATCCTTTGCCTTGATGTAGTCTCTCTTCCCAGCTTTCCCTCCTCTCCCCACATCCCACTGCCCCCGATCTGTGCAGCCAGGAGCCTGACGTCACCGCTGCTCCCCCAGCCCCCACTCACAGCTCCAGCACAGTGGCGTTCCTCTTGTCGCGGATGGTATACCGGCCGTAGCTGTCCACGCTCCCAGTGCCAAAGACGATGAGGGCAGGTAGGCCTGGGCGCAACGGGAGGACCTATGGCATCGCTGGGGCTCCCTTGGCATGTCCTCCTCCAAAATCCCCTCCAGCTGCCCGCCCCTCAAGCCCTGAGCCCGTGTGAGAGAGGGAGACCCCTCTGGGCCTTGGCGGCTCCCCCCCCGCCCTTCCCGCCCCTCCCGCAGCCAGCCATGCTCCCCGCCCGCCCGAGCTGCACCTACCCCAGCCCACAAAGCTCAGCTTCAGGAAGTAGTGCCCGAAGTAGGTGTTGAAGACCTTGATGATGAGCAGGTAGAGGTGGAAGGCTTCCAGGCCCATCCAGGTGAAGGTGCAGAGTAGGAAGTAGTGGAAGACAGCCCCCCAGGCCCGGCAGGTGGCGTCTGACTGCTTGTGGCTGTACCCCACATTGAAGAAGAAGGCGAGATTCAGGAGAAACAAGGTCATGCTCAGGGCCACGTGGATCTTGGGGGCATCTTCCGACTTGAACCTCTGCCGGTAGAACCTGCAGTGGGAAGGGCCGATGAGAGGTGGCAAGAGGCCCGGCCGCAGCTCCTCTCGGGGAGGACCTGCACCCCAGCGTCCCCACCCCACCTCCCCTGGTCCACCCCTGCCAGCAGCCAGAGCGTGAGTGCCGTCAGGCTCAGGGTTAGGAGCACTCTCTCTTCTGGCCCACACGGCCCCGGGGGGCCCACATGCTGCCGGACTCATCCCTCCACTCCATGCTCTAGCCAACCCGCATACTTTGCAAGTCCCCGAATGCATTCTGCTTTTCCACCCCTCCCAGACTTGGCCTCTGCTCTTCTCTCTGCTCTCAATGCCTTTTCCTACTCTTCCTTCAAAACTTCCCTGGGCGCTTCCTTCTCAGGAAGCTGTCTCTGAATGCCACTTAGCCAGGCTGATTTGGAAGTTTCCTGCAGCGCAGGGTAGCCCCCTCCCCTCCCCTCTGGCTGTGACCTCGGGCTAGCACAATCGGCAGCAGGGGACCCTGTGTGCATGGGTTGAGCGAGTGGACAAACCTACCTACCGGGCAGAGATGCAGGAGGCCGGGACGTATGTCAGAATTCCTAGCAAATCGGATCCCGAGGGCTCTCACTGGAGGGATGGGAGCCCCGGGTGCCTGGACGGGAGCGGAGGCCTCCTGTCCACCTCACCTGAGATGCCAGGGCCCACCCGCGACAGTCGGTGACGAGTCCTCCCGGCGCGCCAAGCCCGGCTCATGAGGTCCAGCAGTGCGGCCGGCTGGCAAGGCATGCTCAGCTTGTTGGGGGTGGGGGCTCTGCTCCAGGCCTGGGCTTGGGGGGGGGCAGGGGTGGCACTGCTCATACTCATGCTTTAGTCTGAGATGGAGGGGGTGAGGCTAGAGGGGGCTGCAGCCCAGGGCCGGATGGGGACAGAGGCAAAGAGGCACGTGGAGAAAGGCCATGGCAGGGCCCCAGACTGACGCAGGAGATCCCAGGGCTGCTCTGTTCAGCCCCGGGTCAGAAGCCTGGGGTCCAGGCCAGCCTAGGGCATGGGGCTGCTCTCACAGACTCCTTCAAGCAGGCCGTTCCTGTGGGTCCCTCAGCCCTGGCCGGGACCCAGACAGCCTGAGCACAGGCCACACTGATCTCTGCCTGTCCTGCCCCTGCTCCTCCTTCTGGAAACAGACCTGGGTCTCCCCGAGGAGCACGCTTTCCTGCTCACAGTCCTGATGTTTGGGTGAGGCCGGCCCTTTGTTAGCTCAAACCCAAAAGCAGGCACATGACCTGGCCTGGCCAGTCAGTGTAATCCATCCCTTGACCACAGTGGCCTGTTCAGTCATGGGCACATGACCCAAGTTAGACCAGCAAAACTCCACTCTGGTATACACGGGATAAAATTGCATAGAACCAACACCCACACACACACACACACACACAAATGCATGTAAAAAATTATGGAAGTTGTATTCTAGTTACTAGCACTGTACCCATGTCAATTTCCTGGTTTTGATATGATACTACAGTTATAGAAAATGTTATCACCAGGAAAAGCTGGATAAAGGAACCAGGGGACTCTATACAGTAATTTTGTACTTTCCTGTAGGTCTATAATTATTTCAAAATAAAATGCTGAAAGAAAAAGGCTTCAATGTTGGAATTTCATTTAGAAAATTCGCTGCCTAGGCAGCTAAGAAGCTGTGAGGCAAGCCCGGGGCTCCCCAAGGCCCCTGAGGGTGAAGAAGCTGCTTGACATGGCTGACAAAGGAGAAAGCAAAGTTGGGAGAAGCAGAGGGAGAGCAAGGCCTGGGGGCATGTTTTGAGCCCCTGGATCCAACCATGCGTGAAGGGAGCTCCATTCCATGAACCACATATTCCCCATTGTGTTTAAGTGAATTTGAGTTGAGTTTCTGCCACTTCCAACTGAAATAGCTCTGACACATTTCAACCCCCAACCCCATCTTATAGATGAGGAAAGTAAGGTTTGGAGGGGATATCAGTATAATACTGCACAAGCAGGGGGCTTTCCGGCCTGCTATGCTCCCACCCTTGAGGAAAAGAGGGAGATGCGGGGTGGGGGTGGGGGATCACCCACCTTAGGACAACGTAGAGGACAATGGTAAAGGCCAGGAAGATCATAGAGGCTCCACAGCCAGCCTGGGAAATGCGAACGAGGAACTGCACGGTGGCCCGGTCCAAGATCGGCTTCTGTGGGCGACCCCCCCAAACCGGGACCCCATCAGTTGGAGGCCAGGCCCCACACATCCCAGAGGCCCTGGCCCCTGCCAGGAAGCCTCAGTGCCTCCAGAACTGCTGGGATCAGGGTGGGTGGGCTGTTACCAGCAGCAAAGCGAAGAAGGTCAGATGGTCACAGCGACAGACAGTCCTCTCGGCTCTGGGCTCCGTGGAGCAGCCCGTGGAAGACCAGTCTCCTGCTGACCCTAGAGAGGAAGGGAGGGGAACATAGGAGAGTGTATGGGAATATGGGGGAGTGGAGGGGACCAGAGAGGAAGGAAGGGAGGGGAGAGGCTCTGCCTACCTTTAGTCACATCCCAGAACACACAGCTGAGGGCCATGTTCTGAAACCAGAGAGTGGGAGTCAGGGTGGAAGCAGGGGGAGGTTGGGAGAGAGAAGAGGAGAGTGGGGGGAGGGGAAGGGAGAGGACAGCGTGCCCCCCGCCCCGCCCCAGGTGTGCACTGGGTGGAAAGCAAGGCTCACCCCGTGGATCACGCAGGAACATCAGGAGCCGCATTTGGTGTGCATGGATCAGCATGTGAGAGGTGTGGACACGGTGTGGGGCTGCAGGGGGGTGGGTAGCATGTCTGTGTACGCGTGCCTTTAGGGGAGCACGTATGTGGGTGTGTGTGTGATCCCGTGTGCTCACTCATGGGTTTGCCAGGTCCTCGGTGCACCTCAGTAAGCACAAGTGGGAGGGTGTCTGGAGGTCGAGCGGACATTCGTGCGCACGTGGCATGTGTCCCTGGGTGCACCTGTGTGTATGGTCTTAATGGCCGGGGGAATGTGGAAGACTGGGAGGTGCAGAGCCCTACGCCTGTCTGCCCATATGCTTGTGGGGGGGTGACCACCCGCCTGTCTGCCCCTCAGTAGCTGCCAGGCTTGGGTCGGGGGCTCACCGGGGGTAGGCGCTGGTGGGAGAAGGTGATCTCCAAAGGCTCAACCAGCCTGCTGACAGGTATCCTGCCCAAACTCAAGCCCACTAGGCGATTGTTCAACACGTGGCTGCCATCCTCCAGGCTGAGCTGGGTGCCCTGTGGAGGGAGATGGGGGGTCAGGCTTCAGAAGGGGCTGTCCCAACCCAGCCCTGTTGGGAGTTCCTAGGAACCTCCAGGACCCATGGCCCTTGCCTGGAGAGTAAAGTCTGTGGCTAGGGGACCAGGGGACCAAGGGGTCATGAGCAACCTTCTTCCTGCTGCCCCCTGCAGTCTCCTGCCCGGGCTGGATCACTGTGGGCCCTACACCCCAGGCCAACTGGTTGCAAAGCCATGCACCCAACAGCTCTCCTTTGCTGTCCCCAGAGCTCCTCTGCCCTCTTAGCTGGAGGAGTACAGGGCTGGAAGAAAAATCAGCCCCAAATGGAGGGCAGTGGGTGCCTACACCAGCATTCATGGTGCACTGGATCTACACCTGAGTGGATCACACACCTCTGGGGATGCATGCCTGGGACACATTTGCAAGGTCACGGTCATACAGGAACACACATGACTGCATGTACTCCAGGACTATGAAAGAATATGCATGTTTGTCCATGCACAAGGACACACACAAGGGGACACAAACGCTTGGGATACACATACAAGTCCAAGGACACTGGTGTGTGGGATCCAAACATGAGTGTGTGTGACCAGTGTGAGTCTGCAATGCACAGACTCCAGAGACAGAAGTCCGGGGTGACCTCGGGCTGATTTAGAAACGCTCTCCGCAGGCTCATCACCTCTTCCATCCCCATGGGGACCTACAGCGAAGACTCCAGAGAAGGCAAGCTGGGCACAGGTCCCTGGTGAACTGAGCATTGACCCACTGAGCTGCCCTGAGCCTCCTCCAGTCCTCTCCTCACCTTGAAGAGATTCCCCGGACTGATGTCCAGGACAGTGATGGCCAGCGAGACCTCCGACCTGTTGCTCTGCAGGGATACAAAGAGGCTCCTGGGCAGCCGGACTCTGTCGGGGTGTTCACGCTCATCCTCTGTCACCTGCCCTGGAACCTGGGAACCACAGACCCCGGAGCTCCCATCTTACCCAAGGGTTCCAGCCCCCAACACAAGGTTCTTGCCATTCCCCCACTTGGGAGGGGAAACTGAGGCACTGGGTGGAGGGGCAGCACCTGAGAGCATCACTTGGAGAGGCAGGACACTCGGGGGCACACTGCAAGCTCAGCTCTCTCCAGGCTGTGAGCCCCCAGACAAGCCACAGCGCTCATGGACCCTCAGTTTTCCCACTAAGGAGAATGGGGCTAACCAGGTGCCTGCATGACCACATATCGGGGTCAGACTCAAAGTGGGCTGTGAAGGTCAGTTTGCAAGTGTGGGGGGAGAGTCGGCTGTGGTGCACTTTAGGCCAGCATCCTGACAGCCCCTGTGCTTACACAGGGCTTTAGGGTCATGGTGTCTGGGTTCTGACCTGGGAATAACTGGAAAGAATAAAGCTCCCAGGAAGAGAGGCCGCGAGAGCAGAGGCGGAAATGACAAAACTTCACACGGAATGTGATTTCCACCCCCGCCCAACACCAAATTTTGTAAAAGCTAAGAATGGTGAAAATAGTAAAATAAATCTCACTGGTGATTTGTTCATTCTTGCTACACTGGGGCTGCAGCCTGGTCCCATCGGGTCCTGCCTCAAAGGCATCCCATGGGCACTGGAACAGGAGGAGCTAAGGGTTGGAGGCAAGGGACCCAACTTCCTCCTTCCCAGTCTGGACCCTTGTCAAAGGACGTGGGACAGCTCAGCCGCTTGGGTCACATCAATAAAGGCCCTATCTTTCATGTCCCCTTTTCCAGACAGACCTAGAAGGACCTCGATGATAGCCAACATGCCTGCCGCCTGAACTTCCACCCTCAGCTTCACCCCTTAAGGGGGGCTGCACGCTCCCTGCACCCAGCACTCCCTGTACATTATCTCCCATAACCTTGAAAGTGGGCAACACCGGCACCATTTTACAGAGGGGGCAACCGAGGCTCAGAAAATTTCGGGCATGCACCCAACGTCACATAAGCTGGTAAGGAGCAGAGCTGGGACTTGAATCCAGACCTGTGTAAATCTAGAGCTCATCTTACAGATGAGGGCTCTGGGGCCCAGCGAGGGGAAGAGGTTTCCTGGAAGACACCTAGTCTGGAATCCAGATCCCCTGACTCTCAATTTGGTGATCTTCCAAATTGTACCAGCCTCATGCCCTGGGTCATCTGTCACCCGGATCCACCCATCCAAGCAACTCAGTAGCATCTGTTAGCAAAGTGGCAGAGCACTATCAAATGGGACATGCGAGGGATAAGTTTTGGTGGGCACCAAGCACAGACCAGGAGTCTCTCAGAATTCTGAAAAATACGTCTGAAGGAAATGGAGCCAGACCCAGCCAACAGGGATGGGGAACTCTTCACCTGGGAGGGCGTCAGAGAGAAGAAGAGGTCTTCTGAGATGTTGGTGCTGACATTCTGGACAGCAGCCTTCAAAAAAGACATATTCACTATGCCCGACTGACTCTCCAGCAGATGGTACTCGAATTTCAGCCAGTACCTGCAAAGGGCCGGGGATTAGGGGGCAGGTAGGGTCTTGCAGGCTGAGTTACCCATTCCCCTGGACCCCAGCCTGGATGATGGGAGAAGAGATGCCATGGGCAGCCACCATCAGGCTCTTGGGGTAGGAGGGGTGACTCAGAATATCAAAGGAAGGACCCTAGGATCACTGCAGAAGGGTGGCATGGGAGCAAGCCAGGCTGGTTTGGGGGGATTCCAGCCAGGGGTCCCTCTGAATAGTGTATGTGTTTGTCTTTTTTTGTAGCAAAATATATATAGCATAAAGTTTACCATTTTAGCCATTTTAAACTGTACAATGCAGTTGTACAGTTTACAATGTTGAATATACATTGTAATACATTCACAGTGTTGGGTGACCACCGCCACTATCTAATTGCAGAACATTCTCATCACCCCTGTCCCCATGAAGCAGTCACCCTTCTTCTCCTCCCCCAGCCCCTGGCAAGCACTGAGCTATGAATCTGCCTATTCTAGAAGTTTCATATAAATGGAATTGTACGGTCTCTGGTCTTTGTGTCTGGCTTCTTGCACTTAGCATGGTCTCAAGATTCATCTCTGTTGCATAAGCATGTGTGAGTATTCCATTCCTTGTTAGGGATGAATAATACGCCGTTGCATGGATAGACCACATTTTGTGAACACATTTATCCACTGATGGGCATTTGGGTTGTTTCCGCTTTTTGGCTGTCATGAACAGGGCTGCTTATATGCAAGTCCGAGCTTTTGCTTGAAGACTTTTGTGGAATTCTTTGGGCCCTATACTTAGGAGTGGAATTGCTGGGTCACACGGTCATTCTATGCTTAACTTCTCGAGGAACTGTCGAACTGCCTTCCATAGCAGCTGTACCAGTTGATATTGTCACCACCCACGTTTGAGGGTGCCCATTTCCCCACATCCGCACCATCGCTTGACATTCCCCATTTTGTCTTGTTTTGTTTGCAATTGCCGCCACCCTAGTAACTGTGAAGTGGTATCTCATTGTGGTTTGAATTTGCATTTCCCTAATGACTCATGATATTGAGCATCTTTTCATGTACTGATTGGCCTTTATATACCTTTATATATTCCTCTGAGTATCTCCAACTGTGGGATAATAATTGTGTGGCATGAGTGCCAACTCACACTTACTGACTGCTAACTGCATACTGGGAATTCGCCCTTTGAAGGCTGAACTCTGCAGCAAATGACTTATGGCAACTGAACTGGTGTTGGAAGCACAGGGAACACAAAAGTTAATTGCCATTTATTTTATCACGGCCCCTGTGCCATCAGCTAAAAGCAACACTCCCCCTCCCCCACCCTCCACCGCCTGCTTTCCATGGTATTGAAACTTCTCCGTGGCCAGAGTTCCTTTTCCCAAGCTAGGATCCTAAGATGTACTGCCTACCTTTCCTTAGCAATTCTCAACAGGTGAGGGCTGAGGTAGCAATGGGAAAGAAGGGGAAGAAAGCAGATAGAGCCAGATCAAGGTTGTTGGAAAGGAGTAGCTACGGAGGGCTTGACAGGGAGACAAAAGGGAGGTTTGTATTTTCATGTATTTTTGAACAGTCGCAGTTACCAAGGGAAGAAACCCAAAGAAACCGCAGAAAAAATATTGTACAGTATAAAGAGTAAACCATGCAAATATGTGCAAATGTGCTTGGGTGGGGTGGACCATTAGAACACCATCCAGCCAGAAACAGCGGGATGAGATTGTTGAAATCTGTTGATTGAGCTACATGAAGAGTCTAGCTTTTATTTACCTTTTAAAAATCTAAACAAAGTATTGTGACTTTCACTGTCACCAAATATAATAGTGAATTATAACTGTATATATATGTACTTAATTGTATTTCTCTATATATATAGATACACACACACACATATATATACACATAGATATATGCACTTAAAAAATTCTTTGGCCTCACAAAACAACACAATTACCTTTCTTGAGGGAAGATTTCTTGGTCTGGTTCTCAGAGCACTTAAAAAAATTATTTTAGTTGTGAAGTGTAAGATAGAGTCAGAAAGTCTAAGGCATAGATGTAAAGTTGAATTTTCAATGACAAATTTGACGCCCGCTTAAACATCATCTTCTTTGTCTGATATAGTTACACAGCTAGCTTTGGTTCCTGTTTGCATGATACGTGTTTGTCCACACTGTCCCTTTTTTTTTACATTGTAAGTGGTGTGAGATCCAACAACTTGCCTTCTACCTAGGAGGGGATATCTTGATGTTCTCCAGATCTCTGAACACCCAGAAAATTCCCTGAGGTGATGGGCCCCTGAACTCTTGTGGGGTTTATTTCTCATCCTCTAGGTCACATTTGTTGTCCTAAGGCATCTTAACTACTTGCCACTTTCTGCTCATCAGCTCCAATCCACATGATGTTGCCAATATAGTGGACCAGAGTGATGCTATGTAGAGTGTCAAGATTAATAAGGTCTCTGTGAACTAAGTGATGACAGAGATCAGGAGAATTGACAGAGCCCACAGGAAACCGTGACAGTCTATTGTTGACTCTGCCAGGTCAAAGTAAATCATTTCCAGGAGCCCTTGATAACTGGTATAGAGAACAACGCATTAGCCATGGAACGTATCGATTGCCGGTGGTTGTGTTGATTTCCTCTGGAACAGCAGCCACAATTGGACTCACCACCTGACTAAGTGTAGGCTAGTTCACAGCCATTCCCCAACATCCGCCTAACTTCTGGTGAGTTAAGATAAGCAGTCATGGAGTTATGATAGGCATCACCACCCCTGAATCTCTCAAGTCCTTTATTGGTGGCATTATTCTCTGCAGTTGTCCCCAGGGATGTACTTTGGTTTCTGTTTACTATCTTGGTAAGAAGACATTCCAGGAGCTTCCATTTAGCCCATCAATGGAATGCTCTCCCAGAGGCAATTAAATGGAGAAAGCATTCTTTTCAATAAATGGTGCTGAAACAATTAGACATCCAAATGCAAATAATAATAAGAAAAATATAATTAGACATCTACTCACACTGTGTATAAAAAATTAACTCCAAATGTATAACCTAATTATAAGAGTTAAAACCACATACACTTATAGAAGAAAACTTAGAAAATCTGTAGCTGGATGAACATTTCTTTGATATGATATCAAACACAAACACACATTTAAATTTGACTTCCTCAAAATTAAGGGCTTTTGATCTTCAAAAGACATCACTGAGAAAACAAAGAGACAAGACATACACTGAGAGAAAATATTTGCAAATTGACATCTGATAAAAGACTTGCGTCCAGAATACATAAAGAATTCTTAAAACTTGGGGCACCTGGGTGGCTCAGTCTGTTAAGCATCTGCCTTCAGCTCAGGTCATGATCTTAGGGTCCTGGGATTGAGCCCCGCATCGGGCTCCCTGTTCAACGATGAGTCTGCTTCTCCCTCTCCCTCTGCCCCCCTCCACCTGCTTGTGCTCTCTCTCTCTCAAATAAATAAATAAAATCTTTTTAAAAAAAGAATTCTTAAAACTCAGTAGTGAGAAGACAAAACTCAATTCAAAAGAAGAGGGAAAGATTTGAGTAGTCATTTCACCAAAGAAAAGATACAAATGGCTCATCAGCACATGAAAAGATACTCAACATCACTGGTCATTTGTGAAACACAAATTAAAACCGCAGTGAGCTACCACTGACACTCGGGGGAGGGCTTTAATAGCCAAAACACTGACAGTGTTGCAAAAATGTAATAGAACTACAGCCGTTTTTCATGCTGATGGGAAAGCAAATGATACACTTTGAGGAACAGTTGGGTGTTATTTATAAAGCGAAACATATCAGATATCCCAGCAATTCTGCTCCTAGGCATTTACCCAAAAGCAATGAAAACACACGTCTCCAAAGATTTGAAGTCAAATGTTCATGGCAGCATTATTCACAATCACCAAACTGGAAACAATCCAAATGTCCATCGATTGATGAATGAATAAACAAAATGCAGTATGTCCACACAATGGAATATTACTCAGTAATAAAAAAGGACAAACTATTAATACATGGTAATGTATGAATATAACTCAAAAACATGGTAAGTGAAGGAAACAAGACTCAAGAGACAGTATGTTGTATGATTCCCTTATAGAAAATACCCAGAAAAGGCAAATCTATAGAGTAGAAAGGAGATCAGTGCTTGACTGTGGCTGGGTATGTGAGCAGGGATTGCTTGCAAACAGGCATGAGGGTCCTTTAGGGGCTGATGTAAGTGTTTTTAAAATGATTGTCTTAATGGTTCCATACACTGTATCATATACCATAAATTATTCAACTGTCCTCTAACAATGTATAGACTGGATAGTATGTAAATTGCACCTTCATAAAGCTATCAAAGTTAATAAAAAGAAATGAGATACCACTATATCCTTTCCAGAATGGCGAAAATTAAATGACTGATAATACCAAGCTTCACAAGGATGTGCGGTACCTGGGACTCTCACAGGTTGCCAGTGAGAGTATTAAGATTCATCATACGTCTCCCTTTGACATCAATACCACCTCTAGGTATTTACCCAAGAGAAATGAACATGTGTGTTCATGAAAAGACATGTACAAAGATGTTCATGGCAACTTTATTCATAAGAGCGCCTATTAGGGACGAAATATATGTGCCCTCCCTGCAAATTCATATGTTGAAATGGGTTGAAGCCCAGACCGGCCTCATGGGGTTGTGAAGGTAAAGAAGGTAACTTGGTTAAGTGTTAGATTTGGGAACAGAATCCATATCTTCTGATCCCAGAGCCTCACTTTTCCCAAAGTGCTTATCCCCACCATAAGGCAGCAGAGAGAGGAGCTCCCAGAACAGCCTCCCAGAGCTAAGAAGCCTACTGAAGCAGTTTCAGGTGGGGAGAGCAGTGTTTTCAGGCGACGGACATGATGTAGCTCAATCAGATTGCTATCCTAACACTGAGCCTGAGAACACAGGGTTTTCATTCATTTTTTTCAACAAACATGCATCGAGTGCCAACTATGAGTTTGTCCCGAGTATCTTGGAATGATGGCCAGCTTTGATTCAAAGGGAGAGGAGGAGAGAGGCAAAAATATTTTTGGAGCTGATTCTTCGAGATGTTGTATTCTAAACCCCTTCTTCTCCCTCATCCCCTGTCTCTTAACCTTTTGGTCTTATCAGTCTCTTGGTCTTATTGATTCTACATCATATGATATTTCTAATCCATCCCTCCTTACCAGATGTACAGTGCCCATTGGTGGTGATGGTGGTGGTTCAGCCTTCACTCCTACCCAGACCACTGTGGTTTCATCCTATCTGGTCACGTCTCTGGCATCACCACCCTTGTACCCTTCCCTGAAACCTGAGCAAACTTTCTCAAATGCAAAATTGACCACGTTCTTCCTCTGTTTAAAATATGTCCTTGCTCTGCCTCCTCCCAAATTGGTATAGCTTACCTGACCCTTTACACTTTGGTCCCTGCTTATATTTCTAGCCTATCCCCTACCCAACCCACCTCCCCATTGTTGCCTCCATCCCCAGCACTTCACCTTTTCACATTTCAAAGCACTGTCATTCTCCCCCAATACTCCCTGAAGTTCTGATGCCTGTAGCCCCTAACATTGCTTGGCTCCAACTAGAAAACTCCTATGCAGTCTTCAGAGCCTTTTCGTGAGTCGCCTCCTCTGTGAAGCCTTGGCAGTTTTCCTTTCTTTGAGCTAACTTGGCACCTTATCCACCCTTTTCTATGATCGTACTCTAGAATCATCATCATTTGGGCCCATGTCTGACCTTCCACAATGGTAGGGATGGGGGCTGATTCATCTCTGCATCCCCTGGATCAGAAAATTCTCAGTGAGTGGATGGGAGGGAATGTGGGTGTCAAACAAGAGGGTGGAAAGATGAGTTAGGAGCAGCATTTTCAGAAGCCATAGGGGCTGAGAGCTTGGTCCCTTCCTAACAGCCTCCCTGCCACCCTCGAAGGAACCCCAGATTCCTGTTCTAGGTCAGAGGGCCCTCTTACCTCTGCAAGTTTTCCAGGTCACAGGGTTCATTCCCTGACTGCGTGCACTTTGTGAAGCAGTCAGCAGTGTTCTCCAGGTGGAAAGATTCATACTGGTCCGCATTGATGCGCCCCAGGCAGACCTTTCTCGGTTGCTCATATTTGTTGCTAGAACTTTCCATACCTGAAGGAGGGATGCAGAAGGTGTGAATGGGCTGGGTGGGGAGGCAGCAAGGGCAGGGTGTTGGGGGTAAGATGCTCAGGCTCCAGGGTCTGGCGATGTGGGCTAGAATTCCAGTTCCATCCATTCACACCATGTGTACTTGAGCTGGACTCACTCTCCCCGGGCCTCAATTTCCAAGGCAAAAGGAGATATGACCTCCCACCTCATAGGCCCAGTGGGATGCTTTGGGGAAAGTGTGTACAAAGGGCTTGGCACATGGCTCTGTAGATTAAAGCATTCATATGTTAAAAAAAAAAAAAAAGCATTCATATGTTAGTCCTATTCCCCTTTAACACCTCCTCCAGGGAGTCTGCTGGGCTTTCCACAGTTGTTCCATATCAGACATTCCAAAGCCTTTGCAACTGTGGCCTCGTGGTATAACTCTTGGGCGTATTCTGTCTCGGTTTGCCTCTTTCTCCTACATTCTCATTATGACCCTCACAGGCTGCCTCCTGGGGCAGGGAGAGAACATAGAAGGCCCTGGAGCACAGTGACTTGAGCAAGGGCACCAGCTAGCAGGAGGCAGCTCCAGGACGACAGGCCAGCTTTCATGACTTCCAGTTCAGTTCCCCTTTCACCTGGTGTGGGGATGGAATGGAAGTGTGGAGTCACTTACCAGCTGTGTGACCTCAAGCAAGTTACTTGAACTCTCTGAGGCTCCCTCTTCTCATCAGCCAAATGGGACTAATAATACCTTCCTTGTGAGTTTGGGGGAAGATTAGAGAACATCCATATACATAAACGATATAGCTCATTATAAATGTTCAAAGAGGGGTGCCTGGGTGGCTCAGTTGGTTAAGCGCCTGCCTTCAGCTCAGGTCATGATCCTGGAGTCCCCGGATCGAGTCCCGCATCAGGCTCCCTGCTCAGCAGGGAGTCTGCTTCCCCCTCTGACCCTCCCCCCTCTCATGCTCTCTCTCTGTCTCATTCTTTCTCTCTCAAATAAATAAATAAAATCTTTAAAAAAAAAATGTTCAAAGAGCCAGTATCATTTAGTCCAGGAGGTGAGAATGTCACTGTAAAACTATTTATATATTTGTGTATTTACATTGGATGTATATATATGTCTACATAGTTACCTATCTCTCAACAAAATTAATACATGCACATTTTTTTTTGAACCGTACACAAGACCACAAAATGAAAAGTAAAAGTCCCCACAGCTCCCAGCTCACACTCTAGAGTTCACCACCTGCAGCAGCTCAATGCACAACCTTGGGGAAATTTTCTATACATAGGCAAGTATTTTGGTGTAAATCACTTAAAAATTTACATGAACGGGATCACTTAGCAAGATATCTTGAGGAGCTTTCCACATCAGCACCTACTGATCCCTCTCCTTGATACTCTTGCACACTATTCCACTGGGTGGGTGTTGTAACATTTTTTCGATTGGTCCTCTGTTGGTGGGCTTTTAGGATCATCAGTCTTTTTTTTCCCCCCCATTCTGAACAACACTGCTTACATCTTTGTCAGCTTGGGTTAAGAATTCATAGAAAACATTACGATCCTAGGAATTTCTGGGTCAAAATGTATGAACTTTTAAAAAGGGGTAGGTAAACGGCGCCTGGGTGGCTCAATCAGTTAAGTGTCGGACTCTTGCTTTCGGCTCAGGTCAGGATCACAGGGTCCCCGGACCGAGCCCTGAGTTGGGCTCTGTGCTCAGCGGCGAGTCTGCTTCAGATTCTCTCTCTGCCCCTCCCCCCATGGGTGCGTGCTCTCTCTTTCTCTCAAAAAAATCTTTAAAAAAGAAGATATTCATGACACTGTTTAATGGGAAGAAGCAAATGCTAGATGGGCATGTATGTAAGAGGATCCACGTTTGCTTTTTAAATAAAGGAGGAAGAGGGAGAGAGAAGAGGGAGAGGAAAAGAGAGGGGGGGTTGCCGTTCTCCGTGTAATCCTAGCCCTCTGTATGCCTGAGGGCTTACAAATGGGTGCTGGGGGGCACCCGGACCGGTATTAACAGAGCCTCCCTCCTGGCGTGCCATGAAATTTCAGCGCAGTCATATGTGTGAAGCCTTTGGCAAGTACAGAAAAGATGACTCTCTTTTCTTGTGATTATTTTTTGAAGACATTGGAAGCATTTAGCCCAGACAGAGAGAGCCTGGCCCGGGCCTGGGCAGGATGGTGCCAGCCCCCACCTCAAGACCCGCGCTACCCTCCCCCATCCCGCTCTGCCCCAGCAGAGCCTCCAGGGACCACCTCAATCCAGGTTCAAGTGGGGAGCGGGCCGGCAGTCAGGGGCGGTACCTGCCCGTTCCTAGGGCTCCCCACCAGGAGCCTGCTTCTCTCTGCCGTAGCCACACCACCCCAGCCCAGAGCCTGGCATGGCACAGGAGTCCCCATCGGTGGTTTCAGAATGAATGAACCAATGGGCAGACCCATAAATGTCCACCAAGGAAGCAGACTTACCCCTGTGTGTAAGCCTCTCAAGGCTCCTCGGGCGACTCAAATGGCTGGCACTTCGCCCACACACCCACATCACCATAGGTAAGCTCAGTCACTCAGGGGAGCCTGGAAGTCCCAGCCAGGGTACTCACGGCTTTTGTGCAGGGCCCAGCGTCCCTGTGAAGCCCGCTGAGGCCGGACGATAGCCACCACTGGTTACTGAGTTAATGAATCTGGCAAGTGTTGCCCGACGGCCGGCTCTGCCAGGAAGACAACACCGCCATTTTGCCCCTTTTTCTGAGCCAGGGACTGAACTTTGCACTCCACCGAATCTCGCAACATTTGAAGTTTCTTTGTGTGTGTGTGTTTAAGATGTTATTTATTTATTTGAGAGAGAGAGAGAGAGAGAGCATGAGAGAGAGAGAGAGATCATGAGCGGGGGGAGGGGCAGAAGGAGAGGGAGAAGCAGACGCCCCGCCGAGCAGGGAGCCCGACGCGGGACTCGATCCCAGGACCCTGAGACCATGACCTGAGCTGAAGGCAGATGCTTACACCGACTGAGCCCCCCAGGCATCCTGAGAGGAAGGTTCTTTGAAGCCCAAAGAGGTTGATCCATGTGCCCAGAGCCACATGACCCCCTGCTCGGCAGGCAGGCAGGATGCTCACGGATTAAGAACAAAACAGGAGGAGCACTCAGGGCACTGCGATGGGAGCACACCCTCTGCCTGAGGGGGTCACTGCCGACATCACAGGGCCCCAAGGAGGGTAGATGAGAGCCGAGGTGGGCCAGCGGTGGGCCAGGAGTGGGCTCGGCTTTCCCGGGCAAAGGATCGCCAAGGGCAAGGCCTAGGGTCCTCAAACTGCTCTGGAGAACCACCGCGTGTGTGTGTGTGCAAGGCTGACAGTTGGGGGGGGCAGTCTTGTTCCGGGAAACTGGGGCTGGGGGGCCATTGCTGGGACAAGGAGAGGGGAGTTGGGGGGGTCAGGTTGGAGGGAGCCAGACAAGGGGGTGAGGGAGCACAGTACAAGCCCCAACTGGCCTCACCCTCCAGAGCATCCTGACCCCCTTCCCCAGAAGCTTGGAGGCCAGCTGGATAAGAGTGTGTCCGGGGCCCACCAGTGTCCCAGAGCCAGGCCTGTCAGGGAGCCACAGCCCAGAGGAGGGGAGGGGGGAGCTCTGTGGGGAGCACAAGACACCTGAGACCCAGTGCTGACCCAAGTTTATCAGGACCACAGCTAACTCAGAGGACAAGGTGAGAGAAGACGCCGAGGCCATTGGGGTGGGCTCCTTGGACAGACATGCTCTAGACACCCCCACCCATATCTACTTCCCCATCCCTGGCCCTGAGTCTCCCAGGCCCCCTGGGCTCCCAGGAGATAAGGAGCCAGCTGCTCACCTGAGGCCCGGAGCAGGAGGAGCGAGAGAGGCAGGACCCCCAGGACCCTGGGTGTCATCATCCTTGGGCAGTCTTGCCCACCTGGCGGAGCCCTGCGTCTGAGCGTCCCTCTGGTCCCAGGCTCTGTGCTGTGGCCTGCCGCCCCTCCCCGTCCCCTCCGTCCCCCCCGCAGCGCTTCCTGTGGCCTTTCTCCGCCTTCCTGCTCCATGCCACCATCGGTTGGGTTGTGAAAGGCGAGTGTGGGGAACTGGGCTGTGTTCCTGTCTCACTCCACCCCATGACCGCCTACAGAGGGGGCTGCTGAGCCCACCCAGGGACGCTTCTGGGGGCTGTGAGGTTGGGGTCCAGCAGCCACAGAGGCCTCCACGCCCAACTCAGGCCCTCCCCTCAGTAGCTGGGGGCCTCTGATCCTCAGTTTCTTCTTCTGTGAAGCAGATACAGCAAAAGGGCTGCCATGTAGGGCCATGTTGGGGTTTGAGGAGACCTGTAATGTGCCAGGCACAAGCCGGCTTTAGGGATGCGGGTGGTGCTCACGCTCCTTCGCTCATGCCTATGGGTTGAACAAGACTGGGATTAAGCCCATGGCTGCTGGGGCCCTCGGAGGAGAGGGGGACCAGCTCCATGGGCCCCAGCCTTCCCTGCCCAGACCGGGTAACAGGAGAGGTGGGACGGAGTGTGCAGGAGCATGGGCTTGGGGGCTGGTCAGGCCTGGGCTGACGTCTGTCCTGGGCTGTCTGTCCGGGCCGCCTCGTGGCTGGGTGGGCTTGGGCGAGCTGTCTGCCGCTCTGAGCCTCTCACAAGACGTACAAAGAACTCATGAGATGCGAGTGGAATTGTCCAGACCGCTGGGCGTGGCCACGGTCCTTATCTCTATGATTGTCAGTACTGCGCAGTTACAGTCCTAGTGCCCATGTGGCCACTGGTGGCCCAGATGGGAAGTGGGAGCAGCAAACACACATGGGGGGCGGCACAAGGGAAGGAGAGGGGCTGACCACTCGGGCCCCAGCTCTGATGGTTCTGAGGAAGTCGTGTGGATGAGGCCAGGTCTGTTGGCGTGGTCCCATGGTCACTGCAAGATCAAAGGTAGAGAGCACCCCGCCAAGAAGGTGCATCCTCCCAGCATCCCCCCTGCAGGGCCTGAGCTGGACGTGCTCTACCCTGGGGGTCTGAGGACCCACCCAGCCCCTTCCCCTTCCTCCCACGCAGTGTCCACACAGGATTCAGTTCCCCACTGGGCCCTCTGCACCTGGGGAGGGCTGGGGAGAGGACATCGGGGTCACTCATGGGTCGTGGGTGGCAGGTGGGAATCTGGTGTGGGGCCCCAGGCACTTCCTCTGCAGGGAAGGCTTGGGGGCAGATGGGAACCACGGGGCCTGTCCTGCCTCCCTCCCAGTGGCAGCCAGGTGAGGTGAGATGGTGGACAAGGGTTTTGTGAACTGCGGCCTGCTGGGCCCACTGCTAGAGACCCATCCTGGCACCAGGGCCCTCAAAGGGGCTCACGGGGACCTGTTTGTGAAGGAGGGCCTGGAAGGAGGGACCCAGAGTGTCCAGCACACCTGGAAAGACAGGACCGGGAGGCTGGGAATGTGGCAAAGATAGCTGGGCAGGGCCAGGGTGAGCGCCACCCCTTCTAGGCCCCACCGGGGCTGGGGACAGGCCTGGAGCCATGTACAAAGCCCTGGGCCCCCCAAATCCCGGGGCGGATGGAACTGTAGCTCTGCTTTCTGCCACCTCCCACCACCACCGGCTTGTCCCAGTGGCTCTACATGGTCTTCAGTCTCCAGGGTCAAGGCCTCCAAGCTTCTGGCTGCTTCAGTCCGTTTTCCATGCCAGAGCGACGTCGCCACTCACAAACCTGGTTGTGTCCTTCTGAGAACAGTGGTCCTGCTCCCCAAGGTGGTCTGGCCACACGGACCATCATCTCTGCACCCCTGCACAGGACAGCGGGTGGCTGGAGCCAAGTGGCTTGGCATCTCCACTCCACCACAGACCCCAGCATTCCCCACTGCCTCCCCAACCCTGACGCCAAGCTGTCCTTTATCCAACTCCCATCCCCCCCGCCCCGCTAGTCCTGGTGGATAGTTTCCAGCAGTTGATTTTTTTCACACATGGCCTTCTCTCATCTGTTTCCTGATTGGCCCCAAGGTGTTTGTATCAGTGACTCTTAATAAAAGCACAGAAGAAAGTGCTCCAAATGTTTACAGGGGTTTCTTAGGTGAAAACAACAGCTGATTTTTTTTTTCTGTGTGCTCTTCTACAGTTTCCAAATTCTCTACAATGAACATCTACTTCTTTAAATTCAAAAGACAGATGAGATAGTGCTTAAAAAGAAAGTCCTCCCCCATCTTTAAGACTGAGATCCATATCAAATGTTGTCTCCTACAGGAAGTCTTCCTGGATCCCCAGCAAGGAATGGTGGCTCCCCTTGTAGTTCCAACCCCTTAAGAGCATGTTGGGCTCTAGGCCAGGGTCACGGAGGGAGGCACGCTTCAGTCTTCCCAGTACTAGGGCAGAAACAAATTTGCACTGCTACGCTCCACAGTTCTTGCCACAAGAGGGCTTTGGGAGAGGCTGAGGGTCCCTGGGAGGGGTGGGCTTGGCAGTGGTGAGCAAGGGCGATGCAGCTTATAGAAAGGCCCAGATGGACAGACAGACCTAGCCCAGCCCAGCACGTCTATACTAAGCCTGAGTCAAGGGCAGGCAAAGGCCCGTGCAGTAAATAAAGGTTTACAGCAGACAGCTCTTGGAAACCACAACCCAAAATACAGCCCTGGAATCAGGGCCCTGCCCAGGGCTGAATGGGGGGCTGGAGAGGGAGGGCTGGAGAGGCTGACAGAGGGCCCTGGGCTCAGAGGTAGAGGAGTTGCTGCTATGCTCCGGGAGGGGGCTCTCCTCCTCCAGGGCTCTGGCTCAAAGCTCTGCCCCAACCCCATGTGCCCTGAGTACCACTCTCAGGCTAAAATGACAGGACTGCAGAGTGCCCTGGTGGCGGTCACCGGAGACAGACTGGCTGTAGCACAGGGCCCAGGATGCTGCCAGGCGTCACAGGTCCAGGACCTGACCGTGGGGCCCATGGGCTCCCATCCACAGCCATGAGGGCTGGGCCCAGCGGTGGGGAGTTCAGATCGGCTTGCAGCCCCCAGTTAGGACGGCAGGGGTACGGTCCCACTCCCGAGCCTGTTGTGAGTAGCCCGCAGGCCAATTCAGAAGGCCCAGCCTGGGAGTCTGGCAACAGCCCCCTCCTCCCAAGGGGCTTGGGCCTCCTTCTCGAGTCTCTGGCTGACCCTCAAATGTCAGGCCTGGCTTGTGGGGGTGGCAGGTGGGGGTGAGGAGAGGCCGCATCTCTGTTTCCTCATGCAGCTCCTGGCGGGTGGCTGGTGGCCTAGATGCGGCTGGACGAGGTGCTGCCCGAGCTGACGGGGAGCCTGGCACTGTCCGAGCTGTTCTTCAGTGGGGAGGGCCCGCCCCGGGCCTGCAGCCGCATGGACCAGCACCAGAGGAAGATGAAGAAGCCTGGGGGCAGTGAGGGAGCACAGGGTTCAGCAGGCGGGGGGCGGCCCTGACCCTTGCCCCGCTCCCTACACAGGCTACCAGCACCCCTGTGATTTGGGGGGACCCCACCATACACCAGACACTGTACAATGGCCTGAGCCCCATCACATTTTATTCTGCCAAGGTTCTCAAGGGGTCAGGCCTATTCATTACTATTCTGCTTCACAAACGAGGAAACTGAGGCCCTGGGAGGCAAGGGGCCTTGGCTGAGCCAGGAGTTAAACCCTGGCGTTCAGGCTCCAGAGTACCTGTTTAAGTACCTCTGGGCCACAACAGAGGGGTGTGTGTGTCTGTGTGTATCTGTCTGTCTGTCCTTGGGTGGTGGGGGTGTGCAGAGGGGTGTAGGTAGAAGGACCCTGCTGGCATCAAGCCCCAGCCCTCAGGAGCCAGCCCCTCTGCTCCTCTCCCCTCCTCCCTGCCAACTACCCTTCAGCCTCGCTCCCCCTCCCTGTTCTTCCAACACGCAGCCTAGTGCTAGCTTCAGGACCTTTGCTCTTACTCCTCCCTCTGCCTGGCACACTCTCCGTAGGCCAGACCTCCTCGGCCTGTGCTGCACACACGCCCCCCGGGGCACCTGTTACAATGCAGCTCTGATTCGGCAAGTCTGGGGAGGCCAGAGTCCCCGTGATGCTGATGCCCACGGGCCCGGGAACACACGTGGAGTCCCAAGGCCCTTGATCTCTCCCTGGCTGGACCCTTCTGTTGTCTTCAAATGTCTCCCACAGAGGCCTCCCTGGCCACCCTTCCCAAAGTGTCCCCCAGCCCAGCCCAGCCCAGATGGTTCATCACATCGCCACCGACTGCCCTCCTCTGCGAGATCCCCTCGGATGGCTGCAGGCTTGCTCGTCACGCCTGGTCTTTCCCACAGGAGATGAGCTCCGTGGAAGGAAGGCCCTCACCCAACCAGTCCACAAATGTAGCCCCAAGGCTTAACACAGGGCCTGCACAGAGCAGGTACTCAACAAAGACTTGTCAGCTATGGCCTGGGGGCCCCCATTTTACAGACAGGAAGACCGAAGCCCCGAGAAGGGAAGCCTTCGGTTTGGGTCCATTCCTTCCCTACTCCGTGCTCCACGCTTGGGCGCCCTGCCCGGGGCCGGGGGGGGGATGGGGGGGTGGGCTCTTCTCCACGCCTTACCTTGGAAGGAGGTGATGATGCTGAAGAAGTAGAGCACGACAAGCTGGAAGGTGCCCGAAGCAAAGGAGAAGAAGATCAAAGCCCAGGGCAGACCGAGGACCAGGCTGAGGCCCAGGAGCGTGAGCACGTGGGGCCACTTCTGGGCGTGCGGGCGCAGCCGCAGGATCTGCACTACCATGGTGCCCAGCATGGCCGTGTTGAACAGAAACACCAGGCTGAAGAGGCCCAGGTTGGTGACGTGGCTGACCAGGGAGTCCCGGATCCAGCACCTGGGGGCAGAGATGTGAGGGTGGAGTGCATGCCGCGGGGCTGGCGTGCTGCTTCCCAGGCTGAGGCTGTGAACCTCGGGGAACCCAAGCTACAGGGAGCCGCCTTCAACACCGCTGACTCACGGGGGCACGTTACTTTCTTTCCAGTTCTCCGCGCCTTCATCCGCTCCAACCTCTATTCCCACTCACACAAAGAAACCCAGGTGCCGCACAAGGTCGCCGGCAAGGGACGGGCAAATCCAGGCCTGTGCTCACCCTCCCTGACCCCCCAGCCTCCGCCAGGCCGACACCTCCAGCAGCCCTGGCTCGGTCGGTGCGGCCTCGGCCCAGGCCGCTCTCTGGCCTCTGCCCGCCGAGGCCCGTGTTCCTGAGCCCGCTGTGCTCAGCCACTCACATGGAAGGGTAGATGACACTCTCTGGGGTCCTCTGCACGGCCAAGATGATGGGGCCGTAGGTGTTCACGTCCACTATAGCCACCAGCATTACCAGGAAGATGGGGAAGCCTGCGGGGCCGCAAAGCATGGAGCTCTGTCCCCCGCCCTCTGGCAAGACCCTTCTCCCAGGCTTATATGCAGCTCCGTGTGGGGAGGGTCCTCCATGATCAGACTCGCCCCTGCCCCGCTCCAGTTTGGGTTTCCCATAGAGAGCCCCATCTCCGCTGACCTTCCACCATCCCCCTCACCATCCCAGGGGGCCCGTGGGAGAAAGGGCCTGCACTTCCCGCCGAGGGGCAGGACGTCACAAGGGGAGATGGGAGGCACAGACTGGGAGGGTGGGGGACAGCTGAAGGGGGTGCTTCCAGAGTCTGCACTGAGCCTTAACTTTGTCCACGGGCTGGAGCTTGAGAGCTCTCTCCAGAAGGGGTCACCCACCACCAAACACCTGGGTCTTGACACAGAGCCAACTCTGAAGGAATTTTATGTAAATCGATGGAGTGAACCAAGAAAGGGCCAGAGGAGAAACACGGGAGGGGCAGCAAGTTGGGTGAGGGACATGTGGAGCCTGGCAGGCCTGTGCAACATCCAGAAGGACTTGCAGTGTGCCCTCTGGGCCTCCAGGTCTGACTGAGAGGTCTGGGCCATGGGTAAATTGGGTGGTCTTGGCCAAGAACAAATGCCAGAGCTACAGGGAATCTGTTACCTGAAGCTTAGGAGGATCCACAGACAGAGCCACTGCCAGGCTGAATTAGGTGAGTGGAGGACTGGATGACAGCCCACTCCTCCCCCAACTGGGTGCCTTTGAGCAGTGCACAACCTGCACATCCATACGCGGTGGCTCTGTCTGCAAACCCCGCTTTTAAAAAAGTGAGCAATGTAGAGAATATGTGTTTCTTGGGGCAATGCTCACCACTTCATCTTCCTAAAGGGGACCTTAACCCAGCCCAGGTGAAGAACAGCTGAGGATGGGTGGGTGAAGGAAAGAGTGAGGGAACAGAGAGGTAAGCAGAGAAGTGGAACCAGGTGCCTGCATTTTACCAAGTAGAAGAGGCAGGTCTGGGGGCCCACCAGCGCCCTCTCCCAACTTACCCCAGCCCATGATGCTCAGTTTGAGCAGGTAGCCAGGGACATAAGTGCCAAAGACCTCGACCACCAGTCGGTAGAGGTTGTAGCCCTCAAGGCCCATCCAGGAGAGGCAGGCGAGCAGAGAGAAGTGCAGGAAGATGGCGCTGGCACGGCAGCCAGCCTCGGAGCCTGTCAGGGCCACCGGTTCACTCAGCAGAAAGCTCACGTCCAGCAGGAAGACCGCTAGCAGCAAGTTCATGTGCACTTTGATGGTGTAATCCCGAGGCTTCCTCCTGCACAGGGGAGGGGTTGGGGTCACCGTGGTGGCCAGCTTCGGAAGGTGGGGGGCAGCACTCCTCCACCAGGCAGCCTTCCCAGGGTATATACACACACACACACCCTATCCTATCCTATCCCTATGGCTGCAGCCAGGTCGTTCCCCACCTGTCCCTGTGCACCTACTGTGTGCCCAAGACCCACAGGCTCGGGCACCGTGGGCACATTTAACAACAGATTTAGCCACGGACAGAGCAAGCAAGACAAATCCAGCCACTATGATCAACCAGATGCTCCCAGAGTTGGAGGGGAAAGACTTTGGATTTGCTGCTGTTTTGGAGAATCCATGCCACC